TGATAGAATCTTCTGTTCCACTTCAGTTATCCCCTCCCACACTTCCCTTTTCAATCTGGATGTCTTAAACTCTCCCTCCCTCCCTCTCTCTTATGCTGGAGCTGTTCAAACACACTGGTGTATACACACTGGCTGAATATGTAGATATGAACTGGAGACAGTTTGTATCTGTTTAATGATAGACATCTTTTTTCTGATTGCTTTGTATACATTTTTCTTTCAGTAGGTCTCAGTTTGTACTTTGCATTGTCAAATGAAAAGTAGGGGATGGTATGTTGAAAAACTATTGTTTGCACAAAAATGGAAGGACATTTCAATTCCCACTATGGACAAATGGTTGTAGAAGTTGATGGAGTTGACTGAAATGGCAAAATTGACTATTTTGATTAAAGAAAAGAACATTAAAGAAAAGAAAAGTACACCTGAAGAAACGGCTCTACAAGGCCTTTCTTCAGGACAAGACCAGCGAGAAGCTCTGCGAATACAAGGTGGCCAAAAAGGCAGCCAAGAAAGCAGTAGCGACAGCCAGAAGCTCTCACTACGATGACATCTATGAGAAGCTAAACACGCGAGAAGGCGAGAATGAGATCTACCGCCTAGCCAAAAGCAGACACAGGAAGACCCTGGACATTGACCAGTTTCATGGGATCAACGACGAAAGGGGAAATTTAATCGTGAACCCCAGAGACGCTGCCGAGAGGTGGCGGCAATACTTCGAGAAGCTCTCCACCGAGGAGTTCCCACACCCACGAATCCCGCGAGGTGACCCAGTTGAAGGCCCAGTCTCAGGCATTTATGCCAGTGAGGTCACCGACGCCATCAAGGCCATGAAAAACGGTAAGGCAACAGGACCAGACGACATCCCTGCCGACTTCTGGAAAAAGGCACTACCGGGCTCGGCATTGTGGCTGTGCGAGCTGTTCAACAACATCGTCTCCACAGGAAAAGTGCCACACGACTGGTACCGCAGCACCACTGTTCCGATCTGGAAGGGAAAGGGCAGCCCAGCGGACTGCTCCAACTACAGACCGGTCAGGTTACTGTCACACACTATGAAGATCTTCGAACGTGTCCTTGATAAGCGCATTCGGGACATCGTCGACATCAGCGTCAACCAGGCCGGATTTATCAAGAACTGCGGCACCACCGACGCCATCTTCGGTGTGCGGATGCTGATGGAGGCTCACAGAGAGAAAAAAATCCAGCTCCACACAGCCTTCCTGGACTTGGAAAAGGCCTTCGACCGAGTCCCGCACGATCTCATCTGGTACGCACTGCGAGATCACGGCGTGCCTGAGCTGCTCGTACAATGGGTCCAACTCCTATACAGATGTCACAAAAGCCGTGTAAAAGCAGCAGCTGGGATATCAGAGGAGTTTAATATCACCGTCGGCGTACACCAGGGCTCCGCTCTCTCACCACTGCTGTTCATTCTGGTGATGGACACAATTACACACGACCTGTACACGCCCGCCCCATGGACGCTGCTCTACGCCGATGATGTGTTCCTGGCTAACCTGTGCAAGGCTGAACTCGAGCACCTAGTCCAACAGTGGCACGACCGCCTCGAGCAGTTCGGGCTCCGGCTGAACCTAAAGAAGTCCGAATACCTGACCACTGACAATGAAATGATAGGCTCCATCCACGTGAACGGGCAGGAGCTACCGCGCGCCTCCACCTTCAAGTACCTGGGAACTATTCTTGGGGAAGAAGGCCTACTACAAACTGAGGTGGCAGCCAGGATCAACGCAGCGTGGGGCAAATGGAAGTCCGTCACGGGCGTCCTCTGTGACAAGAAGATGCCGATGCGCCTGAAGGCGAAAATCTATAACTCTGTGGTGCGCCCCGTGGCCATATACGGCGCAGAGTGCTGGCCGGCGACCAAAGAAGTCGAAAGCAGACTCCAGATAATGGAGATGCGAATGCTCCGATGGTCGGTAGGCCTCACCCTACTCGATCGCGTCAGGAACGAAGAAGTGCGTAGACGGTTCAACGTCGTGCCCATCCCCACGGTCATGAGGCAGTCCCGGCTACGATGGTTCGGCCATGTGAGCCGCGCCAAGGAAGAATCTATCATCAAATCTGCAATGAAGGTGACTGTCGGAGGAGCGAGACCGCGTGGTAGACCTAAGCAACGCTGGATGGACACGATCAAGGCCGATCTAGAGATCGCGAAGGCAGACCCGACATACGTGGCAGACAGAGAGGTGTGGAAGCAGTACTTAAGGACATTAGCGGACCTCGCCCGAGCGCGAGACAAACGCTGAAGAAAAAGAAGAAGAAGAAGATTAAAGAAAAGAACATAAGTACTTTTGTTTCCACATGGAAACCACTTCTGAAGTTCATGCTTGATGTGGAAAAGAATAAAATTTTGATTTTGGATTTTACCAAGTAGATTGATAGATCTTTACAGAAATGGCTTGTTCATATTATTTTGAAGAAGCAAAAAATTGTGATTTGATGTTAATGCCGTTCTATTGAAACAGAGTCGAAAGTCAATGATTCTTTTTCTTTTTTCTTATCTTTCCTCACTTCTCTTCCCCCTCTTCCCTGCTACTGCTTTTCTATTTACTTTTCTATTTTACAATGTTTTATAACTCAATAAAAAATGTTAAACTAGAAAACTATTAGGTAAATCAGTGTTTCGCAACCTCTGCAACTTTCAGATGCATGGTGCCAACTTGGGGGAATCCTGTGAAATTGAAATCCACACATCTGAAAGTTGCTAACCTGAGAAATACTGAGGCAAGTCAAAGAGAGGTACACAATTTGATGATTTCCACTTTAGATTAGATTAACAGACTTGGAAGTGACATTGTAGGTCATCTAGTCCAACCCTCGCCCAAGCAGGAGACCCTATACACATTCCTGACAAATGGCAGTCCAATCTCTTCTTGAAAGCTTCCCATGATGAAGATCCCACAACTTCCAAAGGCAAAGCTGTTCCATTGGTTAACTGTTCTCACTGTTCGAAAATTTCTCCTTATTTCTAGGTTGAATCTTTCCTTGATCAGTTTCCATCCATTATTCCTTGTCTGGCCTTCAGATGCCTTAGAACAGCACTCACCAACCACTGGTCCGTGTCCCACTGGTGGTCCGTGAAAAATTTTGGTGGTCCACAGAGAAATCTCACCCCCAGAGCACCCCCCCAAAGCAATTAATCCAGGCTGTGCAGGAACACAAGGCTGTGCCGCCCACATGGCCCACGGGAACCCTCCCCGCCCCCCGCCCCCCACTCCTTATCTGGCAAACTTGCCTGCTAAGTTGCTATTTTTCCTTTTTCCGACCATCATCTGTTCTGCTGTGCTGGGAGATTTAGATTAGCTAGAAAGCAGGAAATCATTGGATTTCTTGCTTTCTAGCTAATCTTTAGATTTTCGGCTCTGCTTTTAAGCAGAGCCAAACCTCCCTTAGGACTGAAGGTTCTATTATTCAGTTGCAGACTCAGAAAGCCGATGGCAGAAACACAGATCTAAGTGAATCTGTGATTCTGTGAACAACTCAATCTGCCTGCCTGATTTTGGATAAAAGTTGCTCTATTTAAAAAAAGATTCAATATTTACATACATGGTGTGTTGTGGGTTAATTTTGTGAGTTTTCTTGCTAGCAAATTTTTGCTTGCTTGCTAGCAAATTTTATGTGACAGGCTCAGATAGCCGATCTCACAGATCTCTGAATGAATCTGTGATTCTGTGAGCAACTCAATCTGCCTGCCTGCTTTGCCTGATTTTGGGTAAAAGTTGCTCTTTTTATATAAAAAAAATCAATATTTATATAAATATTTATACTTACATACAAGCCATGCCCACAGTCACATGACCAAGCCACACCCACAAATTAGGCCATGCCCACAGGACAGGTTAAGAAATTTGAACCCCACCCCTGCCTCTGTGTGTTTGTGTGTGTGTGTGCGAGAGAGAGAGAGAGTGAGTGAGTGAGGGAGAGAGGTTAGATCAGATCTCTCCCCCCACTCTCTCTCTCCCACCAATGTCAGCAAACCACCAGTCACAATTCATATTAGTGGTCCCCTGGATTTAAAATTATGAGTTTGGTGGTCCCTGAGGTCCAAAAGGTTGGCAACCGCTGCCTTAGAAAATAGTTTGACCCTTCCTTTCTTAATTTGGAGTATATTGTCACTCTTAGTCAGTATGGCATGGGGATATGAGGATTATAGGCTAAAATATTTGGAGAATACCAGTTGTTTTATCCCCTTTTGTAGACAGGTTAGTTTTTTTTAGAAGGCAATTTCTATTTTGTTTGTCATCAAAGTAGACTTCAAGTGTTTCCCATCCCTCTCAATCTGGAGAGGCTGATTCACTCCACTGGAAAATTGACCTGAATTTGAAGGGCTTTCAAAGCCTCCCAATGCAGCCACCTCAGTGTACAGGATTCCACCTCTAGTTTATTGAAATTGAGGCACAAATTGATATTTACATACTCAGACTTGATGTTTGCACAGCTGCTTCGTGTCAAGCAAAGGTTTATTTGGCAGTAACAGCAAAATGCAGATTCTACTTTCAAATGCCTGAGATGTCAATTTAAGCAAAGGCTGCTGGCGAGAGTGCTTATGCACCCTTACTCAGCCTTCTTTCCTCTACATCTTCCCAATCAGGCAGAATAATAATAATAATAATAATAATAATAATAATAATAATAATAATAATAATAATAATAATAGCAGCAGCAGCAGTAGCAGCAGCAACCACAACAGTTCCTAGGTCTTTGGTTAGGACTCGAGCTGTTGAGCTACCAACCAAACCCAACGGCTGTGAATCTCACCAAATAACAACAACAATAATAATTTCAATGAATCTGCAGGGCAAACATAGTGGGAAAGACCGGGTTATGAGCTTCCCTCGAGGCGTTTTGGCCTCAGAACAAGACGACTTGTGTTCAACAGCAACAAGATTTCGTTTGGTCCGGACGCTTTTAATGGAGGGTGAAATACAATCTCCTTCCGGCAGGATGTCTTGCCCCGGAGACTGCAGAGGAGCCCAACCGATGGCCGCCGTGGCCTCTTTAAGCGCCTTGACAGGTGCTGCTCCGAGGAGGGGGGGGAACCCGGACGGAGCCCGCCTATTGGTCGTTGGAAGGCGAAGGGGATGATGTCATCGCACAGGGCCCGATGTCATTGGCGGAAAGAAGAAGCGTTGCCCCCTCCCCCCCCACACCCTTGATGGCGATCTTGCGATCGCCGTGGAGGGGGTTGCTCAGCTGTGGCGGACCCGGGAGTCGCCTTCCGTGCGAAAGTGGGCGCTACTCTTCCGGGCTTCCCCCGTCGCTTCACGCTGCTCTCCCGAGGGGGCGAGCGGGGAGAGGCAAGGTAGGTTTGAAGCCCCCGAGCGAGGTGTAGGGCGGTGGGTCAGGAAAAAAAAAACACCACGTTTTCTTGGGCTGACTGTCTTCCGGGGCTGGGTTAGCCATTCGGTGGCACTGGGTGGCTTCAGTTATTCCTGCCTGCAGAAATAGGGAGGGTCACCTTCGGCCGCCTCAGAAAAACCTTCGCTTGCAAGCCCTCCTTCGGATGTGGAGCCGCTATGCAGAGAGACCGGAGCAGGGGGAATCCCGTGTCATCCCGTTTACACGTTCCCTTGGTTCTGTAGCATGGGCCGATCCTGGATCCATTATGTACCATCAAGTCGGGTTTTTGGACTCCACCAACCACATAGGTAGATCTTCCGACGTTGCACCCGTGGCTATCCACTTTGCTCTTGGTCACCCTCTTCTTCTCTTTCCTTCCACCTCTCTCAATGGTGCAGCCTTCCCCGGCGGCGATCCAGGTCCTCATATAATGTCCCCGACGTAGGATCATTTGAACCTGGTCATAGTGTGCCTCCAGCGAGAACTCTGGGTTGATTTGTTCAATGATCCGTTAGATTCTGAAGGTAAGTCCTGCTAAATTCATAATTGCCTTTCTAAGGAAGTGGGCATCAGCTGATGTGGGTATTGTGCTGTGGTGGCTTGCAGCTATATTTTCAACAATAGGGGACCAGCTTGTAACACATGTTTTCCACAACCTGGTGTCTTAGGTGTGTTTGCTTATAACCTTCATCAGCATGGCCAACAGAATAGCTATTGGTTATGTAGGCTGAGGAATGGTGGGAGTTGTAGTCCAATGCTTGTGGAGGGTGTCTTTCTAGGAAGGTAGATTTGATGCCATCTGCTGGAGATTAGGATACCCCATACTTACAGCAGCTTTAATATTTCTGGTATCTCTTGGTCATTCAGTTTTTTGCATTTTACTTTAAATGGTTAGAAGTTTAATAATTTGTTAAATAATGAGATTCATCATCTAGTCAGTTTGGGAATCTGAGGGTTTTTTTTTAGATCAAGCAGCTTGATCTGGCTGTTACTGGCTGCATCCAGTATGTATAATTTTTATATTTGTGATTGGTGTCTGCCTAAAATGTATTTTGAGCTGTTGAATTAGGTTTCTATATACCTCTGATGCTACAGGGAAATGGTAGAAGTCCGAGGCCAAACCTCATTCAAAAGTGCAATGCGTATTTGTTAGATTTTGGATACTACCAGATTGAGTGAGTCTTTTTTTCTTGATGTGACTTACTAATTTATATATAAATTGGATCTGTTATTTGTGGTTTATCAGTTTATATGACTTGAAAGTAGCTTACTTTATATTTGTAAACATGCTTATGTGGGCATTATATCCTGGGTAATTGGGATTAACACAGCTCCTGTTTTTCAGATTCTTTTGGCACACAAAGCTTAGGTTTCTCTAATCCCAGTCATGAGAATATAGAGAGAACAATGTTGGAGGTGCACAGAAACCATATTCTTTGTCAGAGCAACTACCTGACAGCTAAATGGCTCTTGGAAAGGAGATTATCCACTTACTTTCCAAAAATGCCTTTAGTGTTCCAATATCCAAGGGGCTGCCATAAAGAAGAGGGGGTCAACTTATTCTCCAAAGCACCTGAAGGCAGGACAAGAAGCAATGGATGGAAACTAATCAAGGAGAGAAGCAACATAGAACTAAGGAGGAATTTCCTAACAGAACAATTCATCAGTGGAATAGTTGCCTTCAGAATTTTTGGGTGCCCTCATCACTTGGCTTTTTAAAGAAGATATTGGACAGTCTTTTGTCCAGAATGGTGTAGGATTTCTTCTTTGAGTAGGAGATTGGACTAGAAGACCTCTAAGGTTCCTTTCAGCTCTGTTATTCTGTTATATAGGAAGGTTTTCAGTTTAATAATGAGTAATAGTGGCAACTAAAAAGCTCAATGTCTATTTACTACATAGAGTAGTCTTCAGTTCTGGGAAATGTAGCCCACATTTCAAAATCATACAGAACCCCTCTGAATGTAAATCAGTAATAACAATAATGCACTTCATAAAGATGTTTAGTGCCTTAGGGATGCTTGACTAGATGAGCACAAGTATGTGTTTGCAAATTCTTCTTTTTCATGTGTTCCCAAGCAAGATTTCTTTCCTTGTGATTTCCAGATAGGCATGAATAGCTCTTTCTTTTTTCTATCTTCCTCCTTTCTTACTTAATATTGTAAGGTAGAGGAGCAGTTGAGATATTGGACCAAGATTAGAGAAACTGAGGCTGAAAAGTACCTTCAGGTGTGGAGATTGAGTGGGTCTCTCCAATCTCTAAGCTACCTTGTGGAGTAATTTGGGGGAAATTGAATATATGGCTAGGTATGCAACCTTGAGTTCCTGGGGGGAAAGATGGAATATACATGTAACAAATAAATGAAAATTGTTTGATCTTGTCCAGTTGTTTGCAATATATCTCCTTATAGCCTGAAATTTTTAAATCCCAACTTCTTGTGGTTAAGGTTTGGATTGTTACCCTGTGCATCAAGAATACAGATGTGGAGGTTATGCAGAATAATCTTGAACCCAGGTTGCTGTATGTCCATTGCCTAGGAGTCTCTTGCTCCATCAGCTTCTCAAATACTCTTGTTGGTCTCACAACCTTTCCTCTTTCTTCCAGTCTTGTTCCTGGCCTGAAAGTGGCTTTTTCCAGGATGAAAGTCCCACCTGCTCTGCTCTTCTTCCTCTTACTATTCCACTGGATGCCAAGCTCTGGTAGTTCCCAGCAAGATACCTGCCAGACCTGTCGGAGTCTTGTGGACAATTTCAATAAGGTGGGAGGCTAGAAAATGGACCGGGTGTATGCGATCATGATTAATGCAAAGTGGACATCCCATTTAGCTGCTAAGTGTGCGTTCGTCTGCTCCCTCCTCCCATTCTCAGAAGAGGGTGCAGGGGAGGGAAGTGCGCTGGAACAAATGCTGCTGAGAGACGTATGGAGTTTGTAGAGGATGTGAGGCAGAAAGCAGAAATGGAGAGGGTCGGTTTCTTTTTTCTTTTTACATTTTTTAAAGTTTATTTAAGATTAAGACATTTAAAACAAACAAATATATATACATATATACATTTTGAAGCATGTGTTGAGCAATGGTTACACATTTTTTCCCCTAACGTTGACGTGATCTGCCTTGTTACGGTCCCTTCTTCGTTCTTTTAATGCTTTAATTTCACAAAATACTTTATGATTGAACGCATGTCTCCCATAATTTCATAACTTATCCAGTTATCAGGTATTGCCTTTCCTTTAACCACTCATACCAACAATTCCATGTTTTATAGTAATCATTATCTTGGTTATTTTTCAGTAATTTAGTTAGGCTATCCATCTCTGCGCACTCGTGATTTTTTTTTAATAACCATCTCTGAGGGGGTAGTAGGCAATTTCCAATTTTGTGCATAGCATATTCTGGCTGCTTTTATAATGTACAAGCTTAAATATTGGTGTTTTTCCCCATTTTTGAGTCTATCATACGTAGCAAGGAGGTTTCAGGTTCAAATTTTACATCTTGTTTAATTATGTTTAATATCCAATTTCTAATGTTTCTCCAAAACTTCTGAGCACATGGGCACGTCCACCACATGTGATAGTATGTTTCTTGGACATGGGTCGGTTTCTATTGCATGGGGTTGAGGGCTGCTGGGATGGGATGGGGCGAGACGAACAGCTCTGGCTTTGCTGTGAGGCTTGTCCTGCCTTCTCAGGGTCTGGAGCGGACACAGCGAGAGAACTTCGGGGGCGGGAACACCGCCTGGGAAGAAGAGAAGCTTGCCAAATACGCCAACAGGTGATTTGAAGGCTGGGCTGCAACAGGCCATTGGTGAGATGCTGATACTGCAGACCCCAGGCCCTATCTGTATCCTTGTTGGGAAGTAGCAATCTCTTACTAGCATCCTGATCACATAAAATCCAACGAGATGGGCCTTGGCACCCCAGACCAAGTCTCTTTTTAAAAAAAAACAAAAAAAACAAGGCTATGATAACTTAGATAATTGCTTGCTTTTAAATATTATTGTGGACATTCTGACAATAACCCAGTTGCCGGAATCTTTATTTTAGTTGGAGGCCGAACCATAGTGTACATGTGGACTTCAACTCCCAGAGTTCCTCAGCCAGCATGGGAGTTGAAGTCCCTGTGTCTTAAAGTTGCCAAGGTTGGGAAGCCTTGTCTTGCAGGAGAAGGCAGTTTTAGTGAGGAGAAACTGAACAGAAGCCATTGGGTCTAGTCTATCAGTCAAGAAAGCTACATTTTTTTCAAGGGTCCATAAAAAAAAATGTTTCTGCAAGTATCAATTGAGTTCCTCTCCTTTGTCATCAAGATACTTTCCTGGGTCTTTTACATTATTATTTTTTTTAACAAAATGTTCATAGAACTTTCTTTTTTTACTGTTAATA